GACTAGTTTAATAACCTTTTCAAATAATTATAGATATTCTTCTTTACTGTTTTGTTTGTTTGTTTTGAGGCGGAGTCTCGCTCTGTCGCCCAGGCTGGAGTGCAGTGGCGCGATCTTGGCTCACTGCAAGCTCCGCCTCCCAAGTTCACACCATTCTCCTGCCTCAGCTTCCCGAGTAGCTGGGACTACAGGTGCCTGCCACCATGCCCAGCTGATTTTTTTTTTTTTTTTTTTAAATTTTAGGCCGGGTTTTGTATTTTTAGTAGAGACGGGGTTTCACTGTGTTAGCCAGGATGGTCTCGATCTCTTGACCTCACGATCCGCCCACCTCGGCCTCCCAAAGTGCTGGGATTACAGGTGTGAGCCACTGCGCCCGGCCTCTTCTTTACTGTTGAACCAACTTGACAAGTAGTAGTTTTTGTAAGGGTTAGTTGTAATGTGGAATCTGAATCCATATCAGTGAACTTTTTTATATATCTGTTACATTAAAATCTACTAGTTTATCATACCCTTTGAATGGACCTTTTACCTGTGTATAATACTGTCATGGAAGATCGTGTATTTTGGTCATTTGGAAAATATTGATTCACTGAGATATGCAGATCTGCTCTCAAAGTTGACACATTTTATTATATAATATCATTGCTGATTTTTGCTTGAAAACTTGAATTTTCTCATTGGCAGTAAATACCATTCATTATTTTCCTAGAAGTTTGAGACCAGCCTGGGCAACATGGTGAACTCTGTCTCTGAAAATTAGCTGGGTGTGGTGGCGTGGCCCTGGAGTCCCAACTACTTGAGAGGCTGAGATGGGAGGATTGCTTGAGCCCAGGAGGTGGAGGCTGTGGTGAGCCATGATCATACCACTGCACTCCAGCCTGGGCGACAGAGCAAAACCCTGTCTCAAAAAAAAAACAAAAAAAAGAAGTGCTTTATGCCCATTTCCCACTTCACACAGAATATTAAAAAGACATATTCAAATATTGAAATTTTACAAAACTTGACAATCTATACCTCTTCATCAAGTACATTCTAAAATGAAGCTGGATGTGGGTGAGTGAGTGGTAAGGGAGGATGCAGTGACTGCCAGGTTAGTGCTACTGCTTTGAGTCATACTATGGCATCAGCAGTTCTACCCACTATTGCTTTTGCACCATCAGTGCAAATGTCAACACAGCAAAAAAACCAAATAGTTTCTGATATAAAATAGCTTTGACCTCATGGTAAAATGTGGCTCATGTGCATGAGCCACATTTAAAATTTTTTCTTTTCTTGAGGTTTACTAGCCATTTGGATTTTATCTTTTGTGAAGAGGTAATCAAATCTCTTGTTCGTTTTTCTATTGGCTTGTCTTTTTATGACTTGTTGGCATTGTTTATATATTCTGAAGTTAAGTCCTTCATTAAATAAATGCATTACAAATGTCTTCCTCCCCTCTGTAGCTTGCCTTTTTACCCTGTTAATGGGTTTTTTTTTTTTATTGTTAAAACATTCTTAATTTTTATGTAATCTAGCTTATCAGTTCTTTCCCTTTGTTTCATACTCTTTTGATTTTTGTTTAAGAAGTCTTTGCCCTATGCCAAGGTCATGGAGAAATCCTTGTATATTTTCTCCTAGAAGCTTTAATGGTATACCTTTTATATTTGATCTATAATCCATTTAAAATATTTTTTATGTGTGGTGTGAGATTTATATTTTTCCACATTGCTATCCAGTTGGTCCAGCACCATATTTTGAAAAGATTGCCCTCTACGTATGTTACTTTAATAATTTAATTTTCATTTTTCATTACTTGTGAAACTATTCTCTATTCTTAAAATTTGTTTTCATTCTTTTCCCGTTGGAGTCACATAATATCCCTTTGGTTTTTTCCTGTGGATAGCAAAGTTCAATAACATTTATATAGCCACTATTTATTTATTAAGTGCCAATGATTCCAGACAAATGCTGGGCATTTAATCCCTGTGCTCTTATTTAATCCCCTCAACAATTCCATGAGATTGGTAAGGGCTCTCCCCATTTTGCAGGTAAGGAAGCTGAAGTTCATGTACAGTAAGTAACTTCCTCACAACAGTAAGAAGGAAGAGTTGTGTTATAATAGTAAATTATTGAATTCTACTTATTGGACTCTAAATGTATAGGCACTACACTTTTGTAGGCATTCTCATTTAATATATATGTAACAACCCTGTGAAGTAGATACTATTGTCTGTATTTTACACAAGAGAAAGCTAGGGCTTGGAGATTTTATAACTTGCCCTGGGTCACACAGCTGTGAAATGGTGAGGCCAGAATTTGAACTTGAGTCCATCATGTGCCACTTACTGGGAATATGTCATGAGGTGTGGACCCAGCCTTCAAGGAGCTCACAGTTGATTGGGACTAATTGTCCTTTTCATTCCAGATCATAAATCTTTTTAAAACAATTTTAGAAGTATGTCTGAGATCTGCTGAACCTCATTGAAGAGTGATTAATCTGAAGGGTAGAAGGAAAGGTTTCACAGAGATGATGCCTGATGAGCTAAGTTTTAAAGGACCAATAAAAGTTCTTTGGTATTGACGGTAATTGACTTTTATGCAGAGGGAACGACGGGTACCAATGGGGCTATGAAATCATCTTGTACAAGTGGGGGAGTTTTTGTTTCACTCATGTCAGCATGTGAAGGGAGAAAAGATGAATGTGAGGACCAAATCACAAGGCCAGTATGTGCTAAGAAGCTGGATTTGATCCATGGGGTGATGGGAGCCATCAATGTTTTGAAAAGTTACGTGGTTGGGACTCGGTTAACCACAGATTTTTTTTTTTCTCTTGAAGAATCCCAGTCATATTCTGACAGTGGACATGTTAACATGGTTAATATTTATTGAGCTTTTACTGTGGGCTGAGCAGTTACATAAGTGTAAAGTATATGTAAAACAATCTCTTTTAAGCCTCATAAGAGAATGAGGTAGATGCTCTTGGTATCTCTGTTTTGTGCAAAAGAAAACTGAGGCACCAAGAGCTTGACTTGCCCAAAGCAACATATCTCATGAGCATTGGAGCAGGATTCAGCCCTTAGTATTTCCCACTTTTGATACATATATTGGCAGTTGTTTCAGAAGAAATGAGCTTGGCTTGGATTGCTCCAAGAACAAAGAAATGGGCTTGGCTTGGATTGCTCCAAGTACTGGTTGGAACACAGTACAGCAGTGGAGCAGAGACATAGGAGACGACACCGTGGGGTAAGCACAGGCCAGTGCATGAAGCCCATGGGGCCAAGATCAGGAAAATGGGAAGCCACTGGGCAGGTTTTACAAGGGAGGGACTTCATATTGTTTACATTAAAAAACAAAATAACCCTCTGGCTCCTTTGTAGAGATGGATTATAGAGGGACAAGAGTAAAAACAGACCCAGAGAAGAAGTTGACACAGGCAGCCAGGCAAGATATAATGGTGGTTGGTGGTAGATGGTGGTATATAAGGCAGGTGGCTTTAGGGTCTGTTTGGAAGTACACCTGGCAGGACTTGCCAATGGGTTGGCTTAATGAAGGGAAGAAAACTCAAGGACGATGCAAGTTCTTTTTTTAGCCTGTCATTTCTGGTTTGGGGCTACCATAACTAATGATTCATTACTTTTATGGACATACTTTTATGCCATTTGGAGCACGTCTCTGAATGTTTCCTTAGAATAGATTCCTATAGAATTACTACATTAAGGACCAAGTCTGTTTATAGAGATTTTCATACTTATTGCTCAGTTGCCCTTCTAAACAGTTGTGTTAATTGACATTCTCACTATGTTTCAGTGTCATTTTCCTATCCTTACCAATGCTGGAGTCAGTCTCATTATTCTTTTAAATTACTTAGAAAAACAGTGTCTTCGTAACATCTGTTAGCTAACTGAACTCAAAGTGTAAGGCCAGTAAAGTGAGGAAAGTGTTTGCAGCATATATGTGCATCATAAATTGCCACAAACTTCGTGGCTTTAAACTGCACCCACTTATTATGTCATAATTCTCTAGGTCAAGAATATGGATTTGCTTGGCTCATTCAGGTCACTGGCAGAATTCAGTTCCTTGTGGTTATAAGACTAAGGTTCCTGTCCCTCTCCCTCAGTTCCATAAGACCTTCTGCATTTCTTCTCATGTGGCTGCCTCCTCTTCAAAGCTAGCAGTGCTGTGTTGAGTCTCTTCTTGGGCATTCTTCTTCTACCACATTCCATGTTCTGTGCTTTTAAGGGTTCCTGTTTATTAGATTAGCCCACTGAGGTGATGTGCCCTTTTGAGGTCAACTGTGCCATATAACAAAACAATCACAGGATTGCTTTCTCATCACATTCATAGGTACTGGGGATTAGGAGTTGTGGAGTCTTGAGAGGGGATTGAATTCCATCTACCACAGTCTGTTCTCTGGCCTCTCAAATGTGAAATATATCTTTCTTCCCCTGAGGTTTCCAAGAGTCTTAACCCATTATTGCATCAACTCAGTCTAAAATCTTGTCTAAATCTCATTAGCTTGAAGGACCAAGACCTAATCATCTCAGTCAGGTGCAGTTGAGGCTCCTGAGCACAACTCCTTTAATTAGTTGACCAAAGAAACAAGTTCTTTGTTCCCATCATATAGTAGTAGAGTGACAGAAGGTAAGATATCTGTGTTTTCTAACATAGAGAAAAAAAAATATACATGAAAGATATTAAGTACAGTATTATTTGTAGTTACACATGCATACCCCAGAAACATCATCAATGCTTGCAATAGAAAATTAAGTAAATTTTTTAAATTTGCTTCTCTTGAGTATGTATTGGCCATTAAAAATGTTAACAGCAAAAACAACTTAGGAAATACAGCACCTATTTTTCCTTAATAATAGAGATAGGGGTCTCACTGTGTTGCCCAGGCTAGTCTCAAACTCCTGGACTCGCAATCCTCCCACCTCGACCTCCCAAAATGCTTGGATTACAGGCGTCAACCACTGCACTCGGCCTTTACAGACATGGTTTTGCCATGCTGGCCAGGCTGGTCTCGAACTCCTGGCCTCAAGTGATTTGCCCACCTCAGCCTCCCAAAGTGCTGGGATTACAGGCATGAGCCACTGTGCTCAGCCTACAACTGCCTGTATGACCTTTCTTGTTCTGTTTCTTCTCTCCTCCCCATATTTCGTGGTCCAGAGAGAAAAATAGAGATGGTTGCATATTTCAGAGCAATCAAGACTCTTTATTCTCAAGCATTTTAACAGCCACTAGAAGCCCCCTATGTTTGCCACTCTGTCAGGGGGCACTTCATGGAGTCAGGTAAGATGCTCATTGCCCTCTGGCACCACCTGGTCTGCCTCCAGTTGCGCAGGATATTGGAGGCTGCTAGAAACTTTGACTGCTAGCTCCATGAACTGTGGCTTGGGAGCAGTAACCTAGGTCAGGAAATATTCCTTCCCTGGGAAACCTGGCCTTGTCCATTTAAATCACAGTATTCTGCGATTCCAACCCATCAGGTGGAACTGACTGGAGGAGCACCTACTTTTGGATTTTTTCCCAGTTCTCTAGTTAATGATTTCTTACCTGTAAGCTTAGATTAGCTGCTGTATATAAGGCTTTCCCAAGGTCTGGCAGGAACCTGCCACTGCCCCGGAACTGTCAGGTTTGTATTGCTTGCCAGGGCTCTGCAAAGATTCTAGAGCACATCTTTCAAAATACTAAATATTTTTGTTGTATTATATCCATATCCATTACAGAAAAAACAGGAAAGTATAAAGAAATACCTCACCACCCAGGAGTAACTGTCACTGTTTGCACTCTCAGTACGCTTCTTTCTAGTTGTAATTATACATACCACCACCACTACCCTGCATACATACATTTTTCACAGTTAATTTCCCTAGGCTATTGATAAACCCCATTTCCCCTCGATACTTAACACTACAGCATGAGCGTTTTTCCACATCGTTTTTAAAACATTCTCAGAACATGGTTTTTACTGTTTCTATGGCTACATTTAGGAACCTGCCATGATGTTCCTAACTGGCCTCCATTTAAGCTGACTGCAGTTTCCTTGATTAATGTCTTTGTGAATATATTTTAATTTAAATTCTTTATTCTTTATTTAAAATGAACACCTCGACAAAAAATTATCAGATCAAAGAATATAGAGATATATAAGAGGGTCTCACTCACTACTGCCAGCCTGTGCTCCACATCTTCCTGCTGCTCTGCCGCCTAGAAGGAGGAGCTCTTCCCGCTCCTCCACCAATCACAATGGAAAAAGAGATTGCCATACTTGTCATTGACAATGGCTCCAGCATGTGCAAAGCTGGTTTTGCTGGGGATAACACCCCTCGAACCATGTTTCCCTCCACCGTCAGGTGCCCCCAACACCAGGGCATGATGGTGGGGATGGGCCAGAAGGACTTCTACCTGGGCGACAAGGCCCAGAGCAAGCACAGCATCTTGACGCTGAAGTACCCCATCGAGCACAGGATCGTCACCAACCAGGAAGACATGGAGAAGATCTGGCATCACACTGGCTACAGCAAGCTGCGTGTATTCCTGGAGGAGCACCCGGTGCTGCTGACCGAGGGCCCCCTAAACCCCAAGGCCAACAGAGAGAAGATGGCTCAGATCATGTTTGAGACCTTCAATACCCTGGACATGTACGTGGCAGTCCAGGCCATACTTCTATGCCTCTGGGCGCACTACTGGCATTATCATGGATTCTGGAGATGGAGTCACACACAGTGCCTGTCTACGAGGGCTGTGCCCTCCCCACGCCATCCTGTGTCTGGACCTGGCTGGTCAGAACCTGACCACCTCATGAAGATTCTCACAGAGTGTGACTACAGCTTCACTAGCACGGCCGAGCGGGAGATCGTGCATGACATCAAGGAGAAGCAGTTCTACGTCGCCCTGGACTTTGAGCAGGAGATGCCCACTGCCATGTCATCCTCCTCCCTGGAGAAAAGCTACAAACTACCTAACAGCCAGGTGATCACCATTGGCAACATGCAGTTCCAGTATTTGGAGGCGTTCCAGCCCTTCTTTCTGGACGTGGAATTTTGCAGCATCCGTGAGATCACCTTCAGCTCCATCATAAAGTATGATGTGGACATCCACAAGGACCTGTACGCCAACACAGTGCTGGCCAGTGGCACCACCATGTACCCAGGCATCTCCAACAGGATGCAGAAAGAGATCACTGCCCTGGTGCCCAGCACAAGGAAGATCAAGATCATTGCGTTCCTAGAGCGCAGGTACTCCGTGTGGATCAGCAGCTCCATCCTGGCCTCATTGTCCACCTTCCAGCAGATGTGGATTAGCAAGCAGGAGTATGACGAGTTGGGCCCCTCCATGTCCACTGCAAATGCTTCTAAATGGACTACAAGCAGATGTGTAGCATTTGCTGCATAGGGTAATTCAGATGTATAAATTTGCCCCGACAAATGTATACACCTCATGCCAGTCTCACAAAACTGGAATAAGCTTTTGGAAAGAAATTTGTCCTTGAAGCTTGATCAGCAGTGGATTGTAGAACTTGTTGCTAATTTTGACCTTGTATTCAAGTTAACTGTTCTCTTGGTATTTGTTTAATACTCTGTTCATGTCTTTGATTTCAACCCTTAGCACATGTGGTTTGGGCACTTCATTACTGAGATGAAGAACATGCCTGTGGAAGACAAGTCCATGGCTTGGTGGGTCTGTGTGGCTGGCAGTCTCCCACTGGTGCAGGGTATTAATATATCAGGGCTGAGTATTCTGGGATTTCTCTAGAGGCTGGCAAGGGCTGCTGAACCAGTTGTCATTTCTGTCTTGCCTGTAGGACCCAGTTTCCTTTCTTAGCTGATGTTTTCCTGCCAGAACACCATGGGCTGTTACTTGCCTTGAGTTGGAAGCGGTTTGCATTTACACCTGTAAATTTATTCATCCTTTTCATTTATGTAAGGTTTTTTTTTTTGTATGCAATTCTTGAGTCTTTTAAGAGATGACAACAAATTTTGTTTATTTTACTGTTATGTGAGAACGTTAGGCCTAGCAGCACATCATTGTGTAAGAAAAAATAAAAGTGCTGCCATTTAAAAAAAAAAAAAAGACATATAAAACTTCTGAAGGACTATGTATTTTTATGTCTATCAATATCTATATATATTACAGAGATAATATGGAATTACTCTCCGGAAAGCATGCAGTCATTTATGTGCTTTCTAGCTCATGCATTCTCCATGAAGGCAGAAATCGGCTGTTGGGGTCAGGGGCAGTCCTAGAGATTACAGTGGTTTGTGGCCCTCCTTCAGGTACAATGCATAAACATATACACAGTATATCTATAGTACTAAAATTTTATACAGGGGCTATATTGACAAAAAGGTTGAGAAGCACTGTTCTAGCTGTATGTGACTCCATACATCTGTCTCTACTTTGGAAGCTTCTGTCTGAATCTTAGCTTTGGGATTTTGGTTTTGGGTTTAAGAATAATATTTTTCTGATGTAAAACTTCTTGGTTCATTATACAAAGTTGAAGAAACTGAGAAAGATGTGAATAAAATTTATCTGGAGGTTACCAATATTACTATTTTAAAATATTAATATTTAATATTTTAATCTATGTTTTTAGGTTTGTGTTCCGCCCTTCTTACATAATTGTCATTGTAGGATTATTGTTCATCTGAGCCAAGGACCACCCTGAAATATCCCTTGTGTTATAGTCTCATGCAGGGGTTTGCCATGCCTGCAAGTGTGTTTGTGATCCCACATGTATCAGGTGCCTGGCTGCTCTGGGACTTGCAGTAATTGTCTCTTGTTTGTTTCAGGTGTGATCCCCTGGGCCCATTTGCTGTCGGGGGAGAAGACTTAGACCCTTTTGGGTGAGTACTGCTGGGGAGGTGGCAACAACACAACTTGCTTTTGTGGCTTTTCAGCCCCAGTTCATCTTCTAATTTTAGAGTTTTCAGTCAGTCTCTTCCTTTGGGGTGGAGGAGGGAGTTGTTGCTGAGCGGCTGAGAAAGCACTGCCACATGCGCTGCCCCTCCTCAGCTAGAGCAGTGCAGGAGAGCGCTGAGTGTTGGCAGGGAGGTGAGCAAGCCCAGCAGGCAGCTCTTCTGCCATTTCCCGGTCCCCCTGCCCACCCTAGTTTATCAACTGTATAGTGAAGAACAGATGGTGGGCCTTAGGGCAGCTCAGGGCTATTCAGAGATTACCCCACTTGATAAAGGGAGCCTCTGAGCCCCATTAGACTCTGGACGGTTCTTATCATGCATCCAACAAAGTTACTATAGCCTCTGCTCTCCACTCTCTTCCCTGAATGATTCCAACTAGATTTTAACCTCTGCTGCAAAGTGACCCCAACTTCAGCATCTCATTCCTAGACAGTGGAGATATAACTAAGCAGTGACCTCAAAATTTGGGGAACCATCAGCTCATTCATCCTAGTTTGAGCACATGAGGTCAGGTCCATGGAACTCCATGAGGGACAGATGCTGTCAGGAGCCAGACTTAGGCAATCTACAGGCAGTCAGAAATTGCCCTGAGGCCCTTAAGGGAAAGAGCAAAAAAAACCAACATCACGAATTTTCTCAATGCTATTATTAGTCATTAAACCTAAAGTAGCACCCTGCAGAACCTTGTGAGTGCATTGAAGTTGACCTTGGCAAGTTCTGGCTCTTGGTCTTGATCAAGTTGGCCCTCTTGGGTATAGGATAAGGCAGGGATCTCAATTTTGAGGAGCCCTACAGAACCAAAAGCACTGTGCAGAAGAACCAACCCCTGCAGAGCCAAAAGTACTCAGCTGTGAAGTATGCTCTTCATATAGGCTTTGTGTTCTTGCCCTTGCCCACTTTTTGCTGGCTCTCAGGCAGCCATCCACATGTCTGCTTGGGCCATCCACATTAGACAACCCAGCCATTCTTGGTCCATTCTCTCACCTCCCTCACCTGTTCTCCAAGGGCAGTCCTTGCCACACCTGCTTACCCAACTTTTCTTCTTGCCTTAGGCATCGGAGAGGTGGCATGATTGTGGATCCCCTGAGATCTGGCTTCCCAAGAGCACTTATTGACCCTTCCTCAGGCCTCCCGAACCGGCTTCCTCCAGGCGCTGTGCCCCCAGGAGCTCGCTTTGACCCCTTCGGACCCATTGGGACCAGCCCACCTGGGTAGGTAGTCATTCAGGTATGCTGAGAAGTAGGACCTGATGGCAGCTTGGCTCAGTGTGGCAGCAACGAAGGTTTCTAGCCCCAGGCACACAGTTGCCGCTGCCTTCACCTGTTGCTGCCAGGAGAGTGGAGCCTCCTCCAGGGCCCTGCCTGATGCCTCCCTGGAGCCTTCTAGGAGCTCCCTATCCCTCAGAGCCTCTCTTTCCCCAGCTCCCCTCTGGGGAGGACTCAAAGTAGGAGGAGGAACTAACAGTTCTTGAAAGTTAAGTATGTGTCAGAAACTCATTGGATCCTTTCTTCAGCAGTCTTGGGTAGATAGTGGTGTCTACATTTTATAGATGCAGAAAGTGAGACCCTGAAAGATTAGGTAACATACCAAGTGGGGGAGTCAGGATTCAAACCCAGGCTGTCTGGCTCTTGAGTGCATGTTTTTAAATTCCTCACACCACCACATCATTTTGAAGGCCAGGTTCCCTCAGTTCAGGGTCACATCTACCCGTGTCCCCCTGGTCTCTCCATCACTCCAACTCATCAGCCCCTCTTTCCATTCCAGACCTAACCCAGACCATCTCCCCCCGCCGGGCTACGATGACATGTACCTGTGAAGGCCTCAAGAATGTAACATCCCAGGCTTCCCTCCACTCTCCTGGAGCTGCCACTGCTGTCCCCATCAGCAACCATGTTCTTGCAGGCTGGGGGCAAGGGATTCTGCTCATATGTTTGCAGGCCGGCTGAGATAGCCTCCCCACCCCTTATCAGAGCCAAGACACCTGCTGCAGCTCTCCACCTAGCTGCGGATAGCTCCCAAAGAGAAATCAGTGTGTCTCTTTCACCACCAGCTCCTCCCCTTTCACCACCAACTCCTCCCCACTTCCCAAGGGAGACTCCGGCAACCTTCAGCAACATATATCCTCGACCAGATGCAGTGCTATAAGAACAGAATGCATTTTGGATGTTATTATTAAGAACCAAATGTCAATACAGAATTCATGTTGCCGGCTTCCCACTTTTCTTTTTACATTAATGCATAGCTCCTTCCATTTATGAGACTTTAGAGTTTGAGTTTCTGTAGGGCTGAATGACTCTTTTTCCTGCCCAGGGCCCATTCTTGCTTCTCAGGCACCTTCCATTCATTAATTGCCATTGCTCCTGACATCACTAAGATGGGTCCCCCATCTGGCTGCATGAATGGCAGTGAGTGACTGGAATCCCATAGGCCACAAGGATGACTTTCACAAGGGCAGGAACATTGTGGAAAGACTACATCATTCTGATGAGGCAAAATTCTCCAGCTCTTCCTGTCTGGGCCAGTTTTGTAGGTCCATCTATGCATGGGCAGCAGTAGTCAAAAAGCCAAGGAAAAAACAGAGCAGACCTGAAGGCTAATCCTATTTTTGTCAGTAACTTAGTGACTGACCCTAAGCAAGTCCCTTCTCCTCTTAGGGCCTTGTGCCAACCCTGTGAAATTGGAGGTGGCTTTCCGCTCTAAAGCATTTCGATGCCTCATTCTGTGTTTGGTAACCCCTATAAACTGGGGCAGAGGAAAAGAATGATGGTTCAAGGCCGTACTTCCCTTGAACCTTGTGTGGTTCTTACCTAACTGTGGTTTTTGGACCCCATGGGGCCCAGACCGAGCACAGGAGCATGGACTACATCTCAGTATGGTGTTGAACTTCGGGAGGAGCAGGGAGTCCTGTGCCTTGTGTCCTGGCCCACCTGACCTTTGGTGTTCTCCGGATCCTTTTCAGCCCGAGGCCTGACAGACGCGGGCAGTGATGAGCCCTGTTCTGGAGTGGAAAGAGCACGATAGAGCACCAGGCTAAGAGGCACGAAATCAAGGCGGTAGTCGCTTCCGCTCTGCAGCTAGCATTTCAACCATATGTGGGTCCTTTCATTTCTCAGCTCTTTGGATTCCTTCCCCTAAATTAGGACCTATTATTTACCTGTAGGTAAACAAGCTACTGTAGCTCTTCTGAGGTATCTGCTGGGCTGTTTTCTTTAGCCTCAGATTGCTTATCTTCTTAGCCTGAGAACAGGTAGATGAAAACTAAATCGATGCCTAGGCCCAGGGTCAGTCTCAGATGGAAGCTGGGCCTGGGTGGGGAAGCTGTCCTGCACAACAACTTGGGTACTTCTGTCAGTCCCCATGGCAAGCAGTGATTTAGTAAAAGACCCCAGAGACAGGGAAGCCAACCACCTTGAAACCTTTAGAACATCTCTGCTTTGAAGAAAGACCCAGAGATCAGGCAGAGGTGCAGATTCAATCATTACTCATAACCTTTGAGAGCTGGCAAATGGGAGGAATGTTAGTTTTTGTTTTGGAATTGGACCATACTTGCAACCAAAAGGACTTAGAGCACTTTGCTGATAAAAACATCCTTTATTATAAAAGGAAGTATTTAAAGGATGATAAAGACCATCAGACAGAAGCAGAGAAGGTAGATAACTTTTAGGATCTTGATGTGAGGAAAAGATTAAACAATAAATTTGCCACTTAGATTTTCTAGTAGCAAAGGTCAAAAAGATAGTCATATACAAAATTCTGTTTTCTGAAAACAGAAAATTGTGATTCATCTGCAGAATCAGCCATTTTCTGTGAGTTTCCTTGCATCAAGGACACTGAGAAACAGAGTCATTTTCTTTGGTGTTCTATGGGAGGAAGTGAATAGAGCCTTTAGGAACTTCCTGGTCAAGCTGATGGTGCTTATTTTGGTCTGGGCCACTTCCCTCCTTCCAGTCATGAGTAATCATCAAGCAGGAGGTTG